ATGACGTCGATAGGTAGCACTGGACGAGGCTGCACGAAGTGAGTACGAAGACTCATGCACGTCGCAGCATACACCCTACCTGTCCATGAGCTCAGGGACGATGAAAGATGTGATCAACTTCCATATATGCTCCGGGTTGGTTTCTGTACGCCGTGGCTGGCGGTCCGGGAACCAGTCGTTGAGGGATTGCCCATTCTGTCCTTTCCAGTGCTGCTGCCCGTTCGGACGGTCCGGGTCTGGTTTTGGGACGACCGCATGGCGCTCCACCAGGAGGTCTAGGATAGGCAAACCTGACGTCTCGCCCTGCCACCTGGTGTAGCCCTCGTCGTCGAAGTACATATAGGACGATGCAAGGGACATGCGCGATGTCTCCTCGGCGAGGTGGTCTGTTGACATGCTGGACGATGCTCCCGCGTGGAAGCTCGTTCCCGGGCTCGCATTGCGCGAGCCTTGCTTCAGAGGCCCGAAGAACGTGGACGGGTTCATCAGCGGGTACGCCGTCAGCGACGGCGGAGGCGCAGAAGTCGGGAAGATGTGCGTGGAGGATGCGAAGGATGCATGCGGATTAGTGGTCGGATCAACGGGCGACTGTGGGAGGCCAGCGCCGAGCACACCCGCTCCTGCGAACACCTGCGGAGGAATGGCTTGTATAAGCGTTTCGAGCTGCTGCATGCGATCCTCGAGGGTCGCCGCTCGCCTGTTACGGAGGACAAGGTTAGCACGAGGTCGTCTTCAGCACTTGCGCAGCAGCCAATGCAAGAGGGGCTATTAGTAGCGCATGCAGCGCAGACGGAAAGCAGGGTCGTGTTGGCTTAAAATGTAACGAGATTCTTCCTGTACCTCCCCTGAGGAGATCGGCATAATACCGCACACCGGGACCGCAAGAAATAACCGTGTTCCTCGTACCGTGGAAACATCGGACGTGGAACTCGCATACGCGGGATCGCCTATTCAGCGATGGACAATATGCAGGCACGAGTATCCCTCGGAGCTGCATGTACTAACGAGCCCGTCGTGCCTGCGACTGTCACATGCTACGTGCAGTGCATTCCCGTGGCCATACAGGTGCATCCCGCTCGATGAACGCCGCAGCAACAACGTCTTGAGGCGGTGGACAACGAGAGAGGAATGACTGGAGAGGTAATAGACGAGATACGCACTTGGACTTGTGCGGATGCGTCCGCTTCCCGGGCTCCTCGAAGGTGCACGCCGAGTTGGACGTGAGACACGACTGGCACGGGTGGCCCTCGTCGCACTTGATCCTCCGCCGCCTGTTCGCGCGCCGCACGACACGATAATACAACGCTGCAGTCAGCAATCCGCGCGCACATGGAATATCCGCGTCGACGTGCGCTCACCGACAACGGTCGCATGCCCTATGTAGCAGCCCCCGGGTTTGAGTCATACCACGATCAGTCCCACTCCCTGTTTCAGAGCACAGAGTGCAGGGCGCGAGGACTCACCTGCTGAGCTTGAACCGCCGCTCCTTCAGGATGGACGATGTCTGCGACGACGGCTTCGTCTCCCCTCCCGCGCCCGACCCTCCTGCTTGTCCCGAGGCCTGCGGTGACTCTTGGCGCTGCTGCTCGTCCGTCGTCGGACTCGAAGGTTCACGTTCCATGTCCATGGTCGGCAGAGCCGCGGTGTGCGTCGTGTGCTGAGGCCTGGGTCTGAACGGTGCTCGCGCGACACCCGCGAACTCGAGAGCGGACGATGATGATGCAAGAGACGAGGAAGGACGGAGCTTGGAAGACTCAGGATTGTGGGGACCCAAGCCGCTAGCGAGATCCCATTTAGCCCACAGATCGCGGATGACTAATTCATGCCACAGGAAGCGCAGTTGCAACTTCAAATTCCCGCCTCAACTTCGCGCTCCGCCCGCCCGCCGGCAAGCAATCGGCACTCTTCGAGGCGTCCTCCGCTCATGCTCCGCCCAACTCAGTTCTCTCCGCGAGTCCTCGACGAGCTTGCCGGCGGCCTGCAACGCCTCCTCGATCGAGGACTGCAAAGCTGGACGCGAAGATGAGTACTGCTCGAGTGCTCTCGAGCCAGAACCTGATAAGTAATGCCTTCAGCGAGAGCTTCGCTGTCTTCTGGCGCATGCATCGCTGTCAGAGGACCTGCAAGAAGACAGTCGGGTGCAACCGTCTTCGAAAGGTCACAGGGACCTGCGGACCGCGACAGATTGAACAGCGATGTCAAGATGGCATGGGTCAAACCGGGACGACGGAGCGGGAAACGGAACGACCATGGTCCTGAGAACGAGAAGGCCTCTTGCGGTGGTATTGCACTGGTGACTCTGCTGGAGAAGCGTCAACGCAAATGCGATGGTATACAGTCCGTGGTCTCCACCACGCCTCCAGCAACGTACAGGAAAAGACAGTGTGTGAGTACAGCAATCATACAGCATGCGAAACAGCAACAACATCGTCAACGGGAAGAATATGTGGGTTTGGTTGGGAATCGAAGTCGACTCGAAGATCAGAACGGGGGACATCACAGGTCCCCGCGTGTCCAGTCTACGACACGCTTCAATTGTTCGAGGGTGATGAAGATAAGCATCGTCGTGGGCTGCAGACGCGTCCACGCGGGCACCCAGCCCTTGAACATGAACATCGCGCCCTCGTTCTTGAACGACGTGCGGAGCATCTGGATGGCCGACTTGCCCTCTCCACCAGACGCGCTCATGATGCGGCTCTGTGAAACACGGTCAATCCTATGTGAACAAGAGTGTGACGTGATTGCCCACCTTGATAACATCTGCAGGAGAGCAAACAGTCGTTGCAACAGTTCCCTGGTGTGGCAGCCGATTGAGAACAGTGACACGACAAGCAAAGAGAAAACGCACCGCAGCAAAACTGGCAGTGGTATGGAGATAGATATTGTCCTGGAACACACCGGTCTTCAACAGCTCAGCCTTGAAGAAGTCGTACCTACACATCGAACGGTGAGCACATTAGACCTCACATGGCCAACGAACGTGTAACTCACGAAGCCAGCTGACTAGCATTCATAAGGATCGCACGGAACACGTTCGGTCCGACGCCACGGCCGAGAGACGACCATCCTTCCTCCCGTATCATCTACAGTGCACAAGAAAGATGTCGGTTGAGGTCATACATGACGCGGGAGGTTACACATACCCGGATAAGGCCGTCGATAGAGTGCTTGTAGTTCAGCCGCTTCTCGGGGGGCTTCGCAAAATCACCCTGCATGCGGACCATGATGATTTCTGGAAGCGTGCGTTAGCTTGACCGGGACAGAAGCTCGGAGCTTGCTTGAGGGCTGGACTGACCTCCAGGGTTCCCGACAAAGCCGGCGATACCGCCGCTATAAAAGGACGCGGCATGAGCCAGTCGCCACTTGCACGCCGCTCCCCCACTCACCCATGCATCCCGCCAGAGCGAGCTGCCATGCTGGAGATTTCTCATCTACAGTAACTGTCAGCTGTGATCGGCATGGGTTGCACACGCAAGACGTACTGGCTCCTATCAGCTTCTTGCTCTCGTCGTACGCCCAGAACCGACAGATGGAGTATGTCATCTGCCGCAACCACGTCCCCGAGATACCGTCGAACAGTCCGCGCGCACCCGCCGTGCGCACGGTCTTCCTGATCGACTGGATCATCCCCTTGTCCCCCGTCGCTTGCATGCGGACCTTCGTCAGATCGAGCGGACTGGTCGTCGAGCCCGGTAAGCACCAATTTCCCGTCAGCGATTGGTCGAGAGTGGACACTCACTGTGTGATGGATGCAGCTATCGTTGCAGCGAGACCTGGCAAACCAGAATGACATCACCAACATAGGTCGAATAAGCCAATCAAGCAGCACGCACCTCCTAGCCAGAACGGATACGGCTGCTTCTTCTTGGGCGCAGCGACGGCAGACGGCTGGGCAACGGCCTCCTCTACTGGTTTCGACATCGTGGACGGATTATGGGGTAACGGTGTCTAAACGCGACGGTATCTTCTAGGCTGACCAGCGTCAGGTGCGTAGTCGTACGGTGCGTTCTATGTGCGCGCGTTCGACGTCGCGATCGTACGAGCGTCGGGCGGGAGGAGGAGGACGTGGAAAGAGACAACAACACGCGTATATAGGGTGCGGGAGGAGGTTGATGCCCGATTTGCACCGAACGGTGAGAGCGGGGGGCACACGGGGCTAGTTGGGGAGGAGGCGAGGGAAAGAGACGGAACCCCTCGAGCTGCACGCTCCAGAGAAGACAATCACCTGACGGGGAAGCGGGACGGAAGCATACCCCAGTAGCCCCTTTCGGCGACCTCTGCGGAACCCGCACCGGCTGCTGCGCCCGGAAAGTCTCCAGGTTTACGTTCAGTGGCCCGATGTGTCTTGGTCCTTGGGTTGCGCCACGGATGCTCGCGGGCGTCCTCGCACCGTGTCGCAATGATTCGGAATTCAGAAGGATATTCGGAAAAGCTAGGTCACCATCGAGCGAGACGTCGAGCAGCGAATTCGGAAATATGGCCGGCCGAGAAGGTAGTCGCGAGACCAGCAGATGACGACTTGGAGTGAATGCAGAAGGTCACCTGTGCGACTGACTCCCTGGCGTATCGGCATCTCCCATGAAGAGTCGCGCGATCACATGACCGTAATGCATCGCGTCTGTGGCGGCGTCGTCGCGCCGCGCGCGAGATCCAGCACTAATTCTACACGAGAGGAACAGTCGGGGGTAGTAAGAGGAAAACGAGGACGAGTTGCTCGCTGCTGACAAGAGACCCCGTCTCCTACTTATACGCGCTGGTCTCCTGTTTGCACTCCGCCCCCTTCACTCTGTGACAATCGAGAGCGCTCGACGATCCTCCACCGCCCGTTCTCGGTGCGAAGCAACTTCTCCAGATAAACAAAATCTACTCTTCAATTCACACAAGATACATTAACATGGCATAACCCTTAAAGCAGACAACGGTTAATGGATGGGGTACATGGTTATACGGCACAAGGAGACCAAAAAACAGCCATCGAGAAAACATACACGGACTGTCTCCTCTCTGTCGGGGAGTCGAACCCCGCTTTCGCGCGCACCGACAATGACAGGCGCGTGTACTAACCGATATACTAACAGAGATGGGATTCATCCATATAACAGCTTTATAGTGTCCTTTGTTTTTACTTACTAAGTACTGACCGGATGTCTGCACGACTCTGCAGTGCATATTACTGACACAATTGTCTACCCGGCCTTTAGCGTGTATAGTTCCCTGTCAGTCGCTCGGTACTGGCTACCCATTAAAGGTGAGAGCATCGTATCATACGACTCCGTGAACTGTATAAGTGGCAGTCGTTATGAACAGTGTACATACAACACACCAGCCTTCGTCGCAAAGGTCACTAATGATACATGGTCTAGCATCAGAGACATGAACAGGCATCTACGGGGATCAACATCGCAGGAAGAAGGAATCAAGCATCTCTCAAGCATAACCAAAAGACTCCACGTGCAGAACAACGCTCGGGCCGCCATTGAGCGCGGTAGACAGGGGGACGCGAAGCGCTTTACGGCAAGCACGCGCAATGCCTTGCGAGCCGCATACTGTCCGAAGAGATAGAAATCAGCTCTCACTTCGAATTGCAGCGTCCATACCGCGTGAGACGCACCTGTGACAGAAAGGCGGCCGGTACTCGTGGCGACCTCTTCGTTCAGGAGAGCGGCAAGGTCCGGACGGCCCTGCATGACCTGCACGGCGGAGAAGTTGAGGAGCGAGGGAGGACGGCTGCGCCCGACTGCGGTGCCATCGGAGGAGTGGATCGAGTCGTCCTCGCCCCAGGACTTGACTTGTCTGAGTGCGTCGACATCGGAGTTGGGCGCGGTGACGTAGATGCGGATGGCGATCTCGACCTCGGAGGGTGCGAGCTCGAGGGCCTTCGTGAGTGCCTTCGAGACCCACTCGATATGGCCTGTCGACGAGACGTCCAGGAAGTCAGCGAACGTCCGCCGCCCAAGACGCATGGGAGCACTCACTGGGATCACGGATTGTCCATATGAAGACGAGCTTACGGCAGATGCTCTTCTTGCTCTGCACATGGCTGAGGACGCCGAGGAAGGTGGACAGCGTGAACGAGACACCCGACCCTCCGGCGATAAGCACGACCGTGTCGTCGTGGTCCAAGGTGGGCGAGAAGCCGTATGGGCCGTCGATGAGCACCTTGACCTTCTCCCCCTTCTCCGCGATGCCCGCGAGGCGCTTTGTGAACCCCTCGCGGACGTTGATGAGGAACACGAGCTCCTTCCAGTAGGGCGCAACATCGACGGCGTCGGAGAACTTCTTCTCGATGTCGCCGGTAGCCGGAGTCTTGACCCCGGCGAGTTGGTAGTGCGAGTCGACGGATGCGATAGTGAATGGGTGCATCTCGAGCGGGATCCCGGAGACGGACGGCATGGCAAGGAAAGCGGTCTGACCCGGGGTCCAGTTGAAGTGAGGCGGGCGGTGGATGTGCAGGCGAACGAAGTGCGGGGAGAGGAGCTCGACCGAGGCGTCGAGTCGGTCGGACTTGGAGCTGAAGCCGAAGTACAGGTGGTTGTAGTAGACCACGCGGGCGAAGCGGATGGCGCGGTCGAGACCCCAGATGAGGAACGAGGGCCAGATGTACGCACCCTGGTGGAACATATTGGCATGGAAGTAGCCACCGAGGAGGATGATTCTAGCAGGCATGTTCGTCAAGAGGTGAAGAACGAGGAAAGAAAGATGTTACTGACAGGACTAGTAGGAAATGCGTGAAGTAGAAGAGCTCGTACACCTGAGCCCGAATGGGACGCAACGAGACTAGGATGAGGATGCTGAAGGCCGTCAGGGCTGTAAGGCCGACGCGGACAAACCACTCCTCCCAGACCGCCGGAAACTCGGCGAAGGCGCTGATCTGAGAAGATGCACGATCAGAGTCTGTACGAGTAGAACGCACACAGATACCTACCTTGCCACCTCCATGCACCCACAACAGGACGAAGACGACACGGGCGGTCATCCGATGGATGTAGTTCAGCTACGCCTGCGTGAGCGTTGGATATGCTTCTGGGGCACATAACACTACCTTATCGTAGCTGATGCCCGTGATGTCTGGTGCCATCCCTAAGCTTAACGAACTGCGGGTGACGTTGCAGTATGGTCACTCACAGGCGATGACGTTGTTTTTGGTTCCCAGCGCAGTCACCAACGGGAACTGACTGGCGGCGAGGACACCAGCCCTGTTCGTCCAGTATTGGGGATCAAACTTCATGCCTTGGGTGTTGGTGGCTGCGACGATATGCGTTAGTCTAGACCGATGGCTGGTGATACGCGCTACTCACTGTTGACGAACTCCCAAGTGAAGAGCGCGACGATGTATCCGCAAGTGACGAACACCTCGGCGAGGTTGAGGGTGTAGGACTGGCCGATCTCGAGCGTCCATCGAAGGCGACGACGCGATAGAGGTTGACAAGTGCGCTCGGGACGTGACGCCAGGAGAAGCGGCGAGGGGAGGCGGTGTGAGCGTCGCCGACCTCAGCATCGGCGGTCTTCTTCGGCTGTGAAGGCGACCTAGACGACAGCTTCGTGAGGGCCCAGGAAAGGAGCTGGCAGAGGGCGATGAACGCGATGAAGCTCGCGATGAGCCACCACATCTGCTCTGGATAAGCCTTGGCCCGAGCAATGCGGAGAGCTTTGTCGGGAGAGACAGGGAGTGGGCCAGAAGGAGAATGGGCAAGGCCTGACGGCGCCGACGAGGAGGTCGCATTGGAGCTCGAGGTACTGTTGAGGCTCATCCTGAAGAACAAGAATAAGCAGGAGCAGGAGCTCGGGCAGGACAGGCGGTGTGAGGAGGGATCCCTGAACTTCTTTCCGTGCTTCTTGCTCGAATATATGTAGTGCGCCATCCGCACCTCGAGCACGCGCTAGCGAGGAGACCGAGGTCGATGGGCGATGGGAACCCGCATACCCCAGATAGACATGGATGCATACGGGTGGTGGTGTGCTTCCGAGTGCGGTGGAGGGGGTGACGGACCGCCGTGCTGCGACACCAGTCTGGCCGCATGGCTCGTTGCAAACCTTCGTTACAGAAGCCCCATCAGCATGGACAAACACCGGGCGATCGAAGGGTCCTCGATCTCACCGGCGCGGATCTGGTATAGTCGAAAGATATGCGTCTCTTTGATGACATCGCGGGAGTGCGTCCTGATTGGTTATGCATATATTCGCGTTTTCATGTGGTTCGTTGTGTTATAATCATCGCCCCTCCGGGCACACCTGGTCACGGCGGTTTGTACGGGCGTCGCACTCGGGTGGAGCAGTGAAGGCGAGCCGTGGATGCTCCGCACGAAATGGGCAGCTCATGTATTGATGACAGTACTTATCGTAAGGCGGTATATACAACGGTCGGGTAGATACTAACTATGGAGCGACTACTGGGACGGACGAATTGGCGGGCGGAACACTCTGAATGTTGGTGAACGACGAAGGCGGACGTTGATGCAGAGGTAGTTAGCGAAGGATGATGGCGGGCCAGCTGAGATGTGACTTAGCTGGTATGGCAGCGTCGCGGGTGTAATTGAAGTGAGGAGCGCGAGAGTCGTCCGACTTTTGCTCGTGATGGATATAATTGAGTGATCAGACAATGCGGGGTTGGAATGTAGCGCGGTCATACCGATAATTCGTTCTGTGCAAGCCGTCACGTCAGGGTTTACAGGAGGGATAAGTCGCAAGAAAAGGTGCTACGGATCGGGAGCATGATACTGTCTTCGGTCTAGATACGTCGGTCGCTGCGTTCAGCGACGGCTTTTGTCTTCGCTCTGCGTCAACTCTCGCGCGTTCCCTATGCCTTCTTTGGCGTCGCCCATCAGACGTTGAATGGTATGGGGAGGTAGAAGCTGCGGAGGGTGAGCCCCCATCGCTTCCATAGCGCGAATGCGAGCCTGAAGACGGCAAAGACAGCGAGGTCAGTTGACGATGGCAACGGAGGAGGGGGGGGGGGAAGAGGAGGGATTCGCACCAGTCTTGGACGTGCGACCGGACGGGGTAGTTGGCGACGAGGTCGTTCTGATTGGAGTGAGCGGGACGAGGACGAGTACGACGCGGGAAAGAACTCACCGGGTTATACAGGAACGCGTGCCTGTCGACGGCAGCAAGCGCGCCGGTGGGTCGCAAGGCGGCGGAGACGTTCGGAATAGCGGCAAAGCCGATGTTGATCAGGACCTGCGAGAGATGAACGAGGCTGTGAGGACGATTGGACTGCGTCAACGTACCGTGCGGAGTTCCCCATAACCGAATTCCCAGCGATCGGCGGCATCCGTGGCGAAGATCGACGCGAGGACCTGTATCCGCAGCGAAGTCAGGCGACAGTAACAGCGCTGACGACGACGACGACGGGAGAGGGCAACGTACCATGAAGTCTTGCCAAGTGATCGTGATACGGGCGGCCATAGCGAGGGCGAAGATCGTGCGAGGCAAAGGCGAGGATCGGGGGAGCGAGCGGGGCGCGATGGCGGTGAGGAACGAAGGACGTGGGCGCCGGCCTTCCAAATGAGGCAACGCCGCCGGCATCATATACCGTGCGGGCGCCTAACAAATGGCGGCGGCGGGATGCGACTTGCTCGCAGCCTGTGTCCGTCGCGGCTCGTCTTCTTGCAAGTGGGCGTGTTCGTGATGATCGCGAACAGGTCGAACGTCGTCGGCGTGTCCATAGCGATGTCGTCGAAATTCTCCGCGGTGGGGGTGAAGCGTTCGTCAAATGACATGGGTGAGCAAAGGTTCCGCGACAGAGCGTGTTGGAAGAGGTCTGCGACGAGGTGTGTAGGTGACTCGTCCGACTGGACCGCCTTGGTGAGTAGCTTGTCGACAAGCGGGCGCGGAAGCCCCGACGGCGGCTCTGAGGTATGGTTCGGCTTCCTCGAGGTCGCGGTTGCTGTCGAGTCGTCGCGAATGCGCGTCCTGGGCTCAGCGTGAGACGTAGAGTGACCGCACTTCGATCCGGGGTCATCCTCGTCGTCCGAATTGGCAGCAGACAGGCCGAGGTTGACTCTGATTTGTTCTCTAGGGGTACGGACGCAGGCAGTGGCTGCAGCGTCTCGAAGGTGGGCAGTTGATCGGGAGCACGGGC